TTTTTGTCCTTCCATTTGAGAGCAATTATTTTGCCACATCTAAATGGTATAACTTCGTCAGTTAAAAAAAAAAAAATTTTTTTCCAATGCTAAAGGTAAATCCTTTTTGTTTTGTCTAACAGTTCCAACAACATCTGTTTAAGTCAAAAGGATAGCGCACAATTCTGATGAAGTATATTAATTATATAAGGTGATGCAGTTGCCTTGTTTCAATAATGACATCATCAGAGTCATAACAACTTGTGAAGATACTGACAGAGATTGGAATTTAGGATGAAACAAGGTACTGATTGGAATTTAGGATGAAACAAAATACCTTTCCCAGTAATCAGGGCTTAATTTCTAAGATTAGAAGTTCCGGAGCCCTATGGAAGACCGTCAGCAGAGAGGAACAAGAGTAAATAAATATATAAAGGGACTATTAAACTCATTAATAATTTTAAAATTAAATAGTTAATTATTATCAAATTAATTAATAGCTATTTAATTAATGTTTATAAATGTTTTTTTAATCAATAATCATTATATAATTAATTATAATTTAATTGATAATTATTAGATAATTAATTATTATTTATTGAAATCATTAAAGATTGAAGTAATTAAATAATTTAAATTAAATACAACATAAAGAGATAAAATGAAATTTAATAAACAATTTTTAACATAATTTTATTGTTAAAATAAAATTTTCGAGATAAAATTTCTACTGAAATTGTTATTCTGTTACGTAAATAAAGTGCCGCAGCTTTCTTATTCAGTGGTCCGGTGCGTTCCGGCTAGAATCATGATTTATTACAAAAACTAAGAAGCTCCTGGGGCTGAGATCTGGTGGGGTCTGGCCAAATTTAAGCTCTGATCTTAGGGGGGCGGAAGTGCATTTATCATCACAAAAATTATATATACTTAAAGTATAGCTAATGAAAATTCCAGGGCGAAACAGAATGAGCGTATGAGTGGGTGGACACAAAAAATGAGGGGAATCTTGGTGAGAGAGACCGCGGCTCTCTGCTGATATAATTATAGCCAACAAGCAGATGTGTGTCGGGTAAAATGAGACCTGAATCTGACTCCTAAGGATGAATGTAAAGTTGCTGGTTACGCTTCCCCTCCATTAGTGGATATTGTGGGAGGACGTGCTTGAGCACTTTATCTCAGTATTTCACTATTCTCATTATTCAGTTTATTGTACTCGCTGTGCTTGATGCACATTTAAAAACACAAAATTTCCTTCCTGCGAGGACAACTAACTGTAAGCATCGATAACTATACAGTAGATACGATGGCATGGCGAGAAATTGACGCGTTCCTAAACAAATTCCCTCAAATTTATCGCCCTTCTTAAAGGGAAAGGTTTCCGCATGGGAGTGAGGGGACTTTACGTGAACGTTTCATGTTCTCATGAATTCGTATTTCTAGAGAAATAGAGTATTGTAAGGTCTGCTTGTTGTTAAACTAAAACATTAGGAATTCTAAATTTTCCCCCTTTAAATTGTGGTTCAGTTTTATAAAGAGAAGTACCAGCATTCATCTTATTTAGGGCTCCGGTGCGCTCCAGCTAGAATTGTAATTTATCTTAAAAATTGAGAAGTACCGGAGCTCGGCTCCGGTGGGCTCTGGCGCAATTTAAGCACTGCCAGTAATATATAATAAATGACCATATATAACCAGAACTAGATTCGCTTAGCATGTATGTTTTAACAGCAAATTTTGCTTTTTTCAAGGGTATATATTGGCCCCAGGATAAATATCCTTTATACAACATCAGCGTGTCATGTATGGTAATACAGTACAAAGTCCAAAATCCGAACTTGTCGGGACTTCGGCGATTCCAGATTTGGGATTTCTCCGGATAATAGATCATCAGTTTAAATTTAGTAACATGGCATGTAGAAATTATGAAATTAAATATATGGAATCGTGGTTTATGAAATAATAGAGTATTTATGATCTAAAGTGTATCAAAATTTACAAAAAAAAAAGGTTAATATTTATTTGTTTACCTTATTAAACATTTCTTTCAATGTAAGTTGTTTATATTGCTTCATTTTTTGTGCTAATGTTTTCTCTTTAATTCTGTAGACAGACATAATCCCTTGTTTAGTTATATTGTTTAGTCTAAGTCCTGTAACTGCTGTTTCGAGAATTCCGACTAACTTGTCAATCGAAATTTTCTCATTTTCAGTAACTTCTCTGTCACTTTCACTATTGGTAGCGGTATTTTCTGGATCTAGAACCATACCAAAGATTTCGCCATTCATTAATTGATTGATGGTTGAAAAGCATTGTCATCACAATGAAAAACTTTTTTTTTATATCATCTTCATTTATTACCGCTTCTCCACATTTCTTTACAAAATCTGTTAATTGGTGGATTTTGCCTATTTTTTGCGATATCCGAAAACCTTTAAAATTAGCGACTATCGTCATCAAATTTAGCTATCCTTCACTGTACGTATTTGGCTATGCTTCGTGAGCTTGATGACTAACGACAAGTTGTTCCATTAAGGTTTTGCTTTTAATAAGCCTATTTTTCTATTCTGAGACAATTAAGCCTGAATTGTATTAGTTATTTATTATACTTATGTCTATTTCTTGCACATGGTTAAGGCTTATCAGAGTTCTGAATAAATAAATTCCCACATATACTTAAGCTTTATTGAGGGCTGGCGCTAGATGTCTTATCGCGTGATGCAGTCTCTGTGGGTCCTAAATTCTGCGACTTGGTGCGACCATACGAGCCCTGTACTGGTTCTGGTTTTATGTGAATAACAAATCAGTTATCGTTAATTCAAATAGCCCTAAATGTAATCTTTGGGTCTATGAGTATCACCAACAAAATCTATTTTTAGCATATGGAAAGAAATGTTTGGTAAATTTTTCTTCGTCAACATTTTTTAGCGCATTTAACTTAAATCTGTAATCATCACCAAGTGTAATTTCAACATGAAAGGTTATAATACTCCTTTATTATTCAATTACTAACACAAAAAAATTATTTAGGCATCACTACATGAGTCGTTACTCAAGTTGTAATGTTTGATAAGCATGTGGTGATGAAAGAAAAGTAGAAAAAATAATGATTCGCCAGGTCGACGTCAGGTCAATGATGTATCTATGTGGAATATTTTGGTTTGAGATGTGTGCCAAAGCAGATACGCAGCAATGGAGCCAAATTACTGAATCTACAAATTTATGCTAAAATGATTGTTTCTTCAATAACAAGGTATTTTATTTAGTGTCGAAGGGAAATCAAGAATCAGGACTCTCCAGATGTTTTATTATGCGCGAAGGGGTGGGGGGATAAAATGCGCATGCTTAAAGCCTACGAGAAAACGTTGTTGGTGATTTTAAGGTCCGGATTTTAGATCATTCCAGATAATGGACATCCAGATTTAGGACTTTGTTCTGTATCCCTTTCTGGAGTAATTGTTTTTTGATATACTTTATTCAGTTGCTCACAAATAGGCCAGATTTTTTAGGGTTTTGGGTGAGGATGATTTTGCTGGATCGTAAGAATCATTGTTCTTAAAATGCAAGTATTTTTGGATTTCACAGTATCAGTTATATGACATATCTTACAGAAAAAAGGATTTTCTACTGATATTTTCTGATATTTCCAATACATGCTTTCTTCAGGTTTTTTATACCTTGTAAAACTGAAAGCGCAAGGAACAAATGCATTTCATGTACCGATACAGGTTTCCAGTCTCATCTACCTTTCAGTTTTCTTTTACCAACAACAGTACAGGATTGCTCAGTATAATGATTAGTCTCTTTTACAATTAGATCTACTATTTCACCATTTATAAAATGCTCATAATATTGTAGACTGCCTGAACTGGCTTGAAATGAATTATTAACTTTAGGCAATAATTTAAACTAAAAACGTTGAGGACAAATATCTGGGATATCTGGCATAATTTGGTTCCCTTGGTGCCCTCGTAAAAGTTGTGCAGAATTTTCACTATCTTCAGAATCAAAAGCAGCTGAAAAAAAGCTGCCTTCTGAATTACTTCCTGATTCTTCAAGACTTAAATCCTCTTGTTCACTTGAACTACTTGTTTTACAAACATTAAACATGAAAAAGTGATGAGCACTTAAACTGATTCTTTCAAAAGATGTTCTAACGGAAAAAAATATTCTGAATCTACATACTACTGTTATATTATCAACTTGCATGTACTTTGCTGCCATCTGTATAAATAGAATATAGACGCGATAAAAATTGATATTCCCATGACTTTTTATTGCAAAAGCAGAGTCCGTGTGAGATACGGGTGCGACAAGTAAGGGGTTCACTCTCTACAAACAAAATTATTTATGAAAATGATAAATTACAAATAATCCTTGAAATATGACACATAAACCAAAATGATAATGCAACTTGAAGCCATTAAAAATTTTCCAGTTTTCTTAAATATTAAATTTCTAAATTTTTGAATTCCATCATAAATTCTTATTGTGAAGCAATATAAAGTTGATTTGCATATGCATACATGTATTCATATACATATAACTTCTTATTTTAGTAATTCACAGCAGCTGACTTCAAAAATTTAAATGTCCCCTATATTATTAAATTCTGGAAATTTTATCTTTATATTTTTTATTCTGTCAAAATGGAGTTTTTGTTATGTGGAATAATAAATTGCTCAACCCCACTGATCAATGATCTGTTGTTAATTTCCTTTCTTTCAACTGTTATGTAATAATTCCAGATTTCTTAAATGAGTTCACCAGGTCATCCTAGAAATTCATACATACAGAAATTGTTTTAGAGTTACCTTTTTATAAGTACTCCAGTTACTTTTATGAGTAAATATATATATATCGCTGAAAATCTTTTGTAATACAATATTTAAATGTATTAAAAGCAGTTAATACAAAATTGCCAGCTGATAAAGCTAACATTTCCATCAAAGGGATACAAGTATTTAAAATAATTATTTATTAGCAGTAATTATACTATTTTATGTAGTTATTTATTTATTTTTTCTTTTCAGTCTGAAGAAGACAAAGCTTTGCAAGATGAATTGAATGTTTATATTCAAGTGCTTACTGTAAGTATTAAAAGTATTTTTGACTGCGTTAAAAAGTTTCACTTGTAAAATAAATTTGGTGAAATTCTGAACTATTCAAATTTAATTTAAACGCTGCATTTTTAGAAGTCTTCCAAATTCCATAAGTGCAAGAAATCCTTCGATAAATGTCACTGTTATTTTAATAGTTTAAAATGTTTTTAATGTAGAAACTGTTAGCAAATAAAAATAGTACATTAATGATACTAAAAAGGGATATAGTAACTGTGCTATTTTATTAATTTATTATATTTTGTATTAAATAATGATACATGTAATATATAAAAAATTGGAATTTTATTTTGTAAAGACGTGTGTCTGTTAAATTTACCTTGAACAGAAAATATTGATAAGTTTATATTGAATAATAAATAATGAAGTCTGGTGTGCATTTGATTTGGATAGTTTCAATTATTTGGGCTAGAATATTCCTATCTTGTCAGATGGTAGTTTTCTCTCCAGTAAAATATTTTTTTTCCTCCTAGCTGTATAAATGTAAGTAGACCAAGGAGAAATTTGAAGTTCAAATGTAATTGAACTGCATTTAACAAACTAGGCAAATTGATTACATATCCAGTATCTAATCAATTCAGCGAATTCATGCAAAAAATCCTAATTAGCAGTTTAAATAATTTAAATAAAAGAGTTTATTTAATTCAATATTTTGCATAAAATAAAGTACAAATTTGGAATCATCAGAACATTGACGATTCTAGATTTTGCAAATTTTCTGATTTTAGATCATCAAATAAGATGACATGTAGACATGGCAACAGTGGGCTTCACTTATTGGTTAGGTCAGATAGGAAAATGCTAACCAGTATAATATAGGAGCAGTAAAATTTTTAGAATTTAGGGAGGTACCAGGCAGCAGAATTAAGGACTCGCAGAGATTGTATGGGGCAGCAAAATGCCTAGCCATGCCCCCCCCCCACAACCACTCAAGGGCCAAATGTGATCCCGGCTAACATCAATACACCATCAATCAATGGGTTGTTATTGGGCACAGTGGGTGTTTAAAAAATGACATGCAGGAATCTCATTTATTCTAGAGAAAAATGGCATTTGTGGCACACATACCTCTTTTTATTGCTATATTCTCTATTCCTAGACTTTGTAAGGGGAGATTTTTTAAAAATTATTTTTACTTATTTATTTCTTGTTTGGCTGGTGGTTCAGAGGTCTAGATATTAGATCATTTCAGATGTTGGATATCCAGATTTTGGACTTAGTACTGTAATTCCATTAAAAGAGAAAATTTAAAACAAAAATTAAGGCATTTAATGAAAAAATGAATTTTGGTCCATTTTCTGATCTAAATGTTAATTGCATTTATGATTATTAAAATATAATGCCATCTGGTTGAATTTCAACAAGCCAAAATTGAAGGATTAAGGAAATATTGGTACTCTTCCATTAAGCATTTGCCATGCCTTTTGGCACTTGTGAAAGAGAAGCCAAACCCAATGATAGAGACATCTAGGGACTTAAACCATTTGTGTGGGTATTTAATGTAGCATACTTAATTGTGTGTCTGCAGTTAACATGCAAAAGTGTGTGGCAGGTGCATAATGAAAAAGTGCCAAAATATTTTTTAGTAATTAATATTAATTTCGAATTTTCATTTCAGTATTTAGTTTGAGGTAGTACAAATTAATAACAGTTTTGAATTCCAACTTTTATGTTATGTTATTCAGTTTGGCGTATTAAAGTTCCATTTTATAATGGTAATCTTCCTTTTACGTTTTATGCAAATTAAATTTTGTTTTCACTTTGGTATTTTCTTTTCTTGTGTGTGTGGAGAAATTTTAAGTTATTGAGTAAATTTTTGTGTTAAATTCTTTTTTTAATTATTTTGCATTTTATTTTCCACATCTCGGTCAAATGTGCAGATTTTCATTATGCTTTTAAAAATTTCTGTAAAAGATGATTTCTTTTTAAATTATTGCATTTAAAAGGCCAAATTGAGTTAAAATATTTTAATTTTGATAATTTTTTTGCACATTTCTTTGAATATTTAATTATCTTAACTTTATAATTAATAGATTATCATTGATTAATAATTTGTTATTGAATTAATAAACTAGGAAGATAAACAGGAGCTGTATTTACCTACTCTCAACCAATTGCGTGTCAAAATACGAGCCTCTACTACTTCGATGACATCAGTGCCAAAACCATTGAAATTCCTTAGGCCTCATTATCCCACCTTGAAGACATTATATGAAAAATTTCCTGATGGGGAAGCTAAGGTATGTTTCTTTTGTACTATTATTTCACAACTTTTAATCATCTGGAACATGTGCAGCATATACTATTCAGTGAATGATTCCAGAAAATTTTATTAATCATGTTATGTATTTTTATTATTATAAATATATTATATATAAAAGGCATATATTATTATATAAAGGCATATAAAATTTCTTCTCTGCATCTCCAAAGCTGCAAATGATACCCCCCTCCCCCCAAAGTGACCAACTCTAAAAGACTTTTATTTGCATACTAATTTTGCTGTATTATTTTTGTTAACATTTAATTGTCTTTAGTAAGAATGTTCATAGTTTTACTAAAGTTGGTCATTATCAGTATGTTTAAGATGCTTCTTTTTAATTTTAAATTTGCTTTTGTTTTAAAAACTTTTAATTGTTTTGAAATTTATTTTATACAGAGATTTTGTGCAGATATTATTTCGATTTTGGCAATGACAATAAGTGAAGATAGAGAATGTCTCAAATATCGCCTGCGTGGATCACAAGAAGAAATTGGCTCTTGGGGGCATGAATATGTTAGGTAAGCGCATACTGTTTACTTAAAATATGCTGCTTTGACAGTGTAATTTTAATTGACAAATATTAAAATTTTAATTACAGTGCATTTTTTATGTATCAGTTGCATTTTTTTGAAATTTTTAAGGAACTATCTTTATATAAAAACTTATTTTACTCTAGGAAAATACCTTTATGCTTTATTGAAGAATAGGCTAGCTGTATTATAATTAAAATGTCTATTTGAACTTTATTATTAATAGAAGAATTTTTTTATAAATAAAATATTTTAATCTCGGTTTTTATATCTCTTTGAACTTGTTTATTTTCAGTGATAAATCATAAATTAAAATATAATTTTTCCTATTATCATATTTTGTTTTTACTACATCAATATATTCTTTTTTACGCAAATGTATATTCAATTTCTCATGATTTTGTATTTTTAATGTTTTTTCTGCAAGCAGTAGGAAAATATTTATTTTATAGAAATGCATGCTTCCTTATTTAATATACTAGTTAATAAATATTTTATTCTGTTGTGCAGGATGGATGCACATGAATTTTATTAATTTGCATTAAAAAATCATTTTATTCTTCTGGTTCGTTAAGTTTATGTTTCATTTAATTTTTTCTCATAGCTGGGCACTTATTCTTTAAGCATTCTCTGGGAGGAATGGCTAAAACTATTTTTCATTAGACTGCCTCACTACTGAAAATATTACCTAGGATACAGTTCTGATATTTATGCTCATAATGAAGGGGAACTAGGTATTGCAATTTGTATGCCTTATTCCGGATTTTAATTCAAGCCCATTAGACAATAGTTAGTTTGCACTAACTAGTATCTAAAAGTTTTTTTGTCTATTAATATAATTTTGATTATCATTCTCATAAAACGTAAAATTACTGATTATTACTCCAATTAAAATTTTGTGTATGTACTCATGCAGACAAAGAGAAACTTTGATTTCATGGTTTTCTATGATCTGCATTTTAAAATGTTTATAAATATCAGAAACAAAATGCAAATAAAATGTTTTCCAAAAAATGTAAGGTTCATTTAGGATTTTAAAATGATAAGTTTTATAAAACATCTTTAAGCTTAAAACATGTACATATATACAGGGGTTGGACAAAAATATGGAAACACCTTTAAAAAAACATGTTTCTTTGCTTAATATGGTGTAGGAAACGCGTTGGCATCCAAAACAGCTTGCAGTCTTCTCGAAATAGATAAATACAGTTCCTGTATGTTTGCCAAGGGAATATTATACCATTCATCCTGCAAAACGGTGGCAAGTTCAGATAACGATGTTGGCGGTGGATAACTAGAACACACTTTCCGTTCCAATGTAGACCACAAAGGTTCGATAATATTCAGGTCTGGTGACTGTGGTGGCCAGGGGAGATGGGACAACTCATCCTCGTGCTCAGAAAACCGGTCCTGGACAATGTGAGCTGTGTGAACAGGGGCTTTGTCGTCTTGGAAGACACCATCACCATCGGGGAACAACGTTTGTACCATGGGATGAACTTGATCGGCCAAAATGTTCACATAAGTCTTGGCAGTCATGTGCCCTGACACAGTTATCATGGAGCTAGCAGAGAACCACGATATGGCTGCCCAAACCATAACAGAACCCCCGCCATGTTTCACTCTTGGCAACAAGCAGTCTGTATTATAGGCTTGAGATGGCGTTCTCCAGACGTAAACTCGGCCAGAAGTGGGAAACAATGTGAAAGAAGACTCGTCAGACCATATTACTCGCTTCCACTGCCCTATAGTCCAAGCCTTTATGACTTAAACACCACCTTTTCCTGTTACGGGCATTAGCATCACTGATGAGTGGCTTCTCAATTGCAGCACGGCCAGCAATTCCCTGTTTATGAAGCTCTCTTCTAATTGTTTTGGTACTCACAGGGTTCGGTAACACAACATTCATTTCAGCAGTAACTTTTGCAGCTGTGGTCTTCTTATTTTTCGTCACAATTGCCCTTAATGATCGTCTGTCACGATCACTCAGGACACACTTTCATCCGCGCTGTGATTTAGCAGATGATGTTTTTCCGCTTTTCAAATATGCGGAATAAATCTTAGATACAGTACCTCTTGAAACACTAAACACCTCGGCTACCTTGCTTACGAAGCACCTACCATACGTGCTCCAACAATTTGCCCACGTTCGAAGTCTGTTAACTCTGACATAATGCAATGGCAACCTCACATAACAGTACTCCGACAACAACTGAACTGTTTAGCACATTTACGAAGTTGTATAGGTGGCGTCAGTAGTCAAAAACGCCAGCGTCACCTACATATTTCATTAAAATCAATCTTTCTTTTCAAACATGCATTTCACAAGGTGTTTCCATATTTTTGTCCATCCACTGTATATATATATAAACTAGTTCAAGTACTAATAATATATCGTCTAGTTTTCTTCTGGCACCAGTTGTTACGTTATTTTCTTCCTTCACTTTCGTATGGATTTAGAGTGAATAACGATGATGATAACGATGACAGCGCTTGATTCAATATCGAAACACGCTTTATTTACCAATCTTAATCAGGACTGCTTCAAAGCACTTTTACAGTCATCGAAGATCTACTATAAACACACTGGAGCAATCACAACACAGCCTTCACACTGTGAAGCAATAACGAGGTAAACAGCTTCACTGCATAGCACCAGAGTACAGCTCCCGACTCTGCTCGGTTGTTCTCGGAACTCCACTTACTCTCGAGACTCCATGCTACAACTGACGATGCACTCGACAACACACAGAGCACAGCTCCCGACTCTTCGGTTCAGTCATTCCCAGAGCTTAACACACTTTCTCGACAATGCAATACACTAAGAGACTCTTCGATGTACTCGATGACCAACTCGGCACTAGACTTCGAGACACTTGCTCAATGACTGATTGAGTATCAGCTCGCTAAACAAGGTACACTCTCTCACACTCTATGCGAGGCACACACACTAACTGACTGCGGACTAGCAGGGTATATATAACTTTCAGCTTGTGTTCGAGAACATTCTGGGCTAAACCAGTAAGAATTCGTTCCAGAAGGTTCTCCATCCATCCATGGTATATTGCCAATTTTGTCACCAAATGGGCGATTTCTCACCAAATGTGGCAACCCTGCCTTCCCTTGCCATTTTATGGCAAACCTAAACCTTCTTTGTGGGGAAGCTATCTCACCACGCCTGTACATTGGGAGTATGACTGATGTGGGAGAATTTTTCTGCGTAGCCCCTCAATTTTCAGAGGAATCATCAAAGCAACACGTGGTCTGGCATTACCATGAGTACTCTTCTGTTATCGGGACTGGATTCAGAAATGTATGAATGTATGCATACACATACATTCATGCATATACATGCATACATGAACACATCCATTTATACATACATTTCTGGATAACAGATCAGTAATTTATCATTATGCAGTGTAATGTGCTTTCTAAGGAACATCACCAGCTTTTTTTCTGTGACTGCTGTGTTTAAATCATCCTCTTGCTGGGGCATGTTTCTGAATTGAGCTTTTTGGTAGGTTTCAAAAGCTCATATATGCTGATCCTTGGATGTTCCACACAACATTCTCTTATTCAGGTTCAAAATTGGTTTAGAAGTGGAAATGGTAAGTATTCTGGGCTCGCAGCATACTCTTATCCTAATGATATTTTTGTAAGTAATATACTTTTCATCTCCAGTTGTCATCCAGTCCAAGAAAGATTCATTTATATTCTGAGTAAGCAGAGATTTGCATATGACGACTCAACCATGCAAATTTTTCTCACTTAACTCATGAAGGACTCATTTGTAATATTTATGAAATAATTCTAGTCAGTGTATAAATGTGGTTCGAAATGGTTTGAGCTGAATTAAGCTTTCTTACAATCTCTGATGTTGTTAAAAAAAGGATCTTGCTCTGTCGGGGTCTTGACAATATCATCATCAATTAAAAATGGCTGCCGAGAGCTTGGCTTATCATTAAAGTCTAAATCACCTACTTGAAATTTTTTGGACTATATCCTGGATATTCAACCTAAAATTACATTTCCAACAATTTTTTTTTTTTTTTTTTAATTTTGACTTGCTTCTGTAGCATTTCTGCCTTGTTGGAATTTGTACAAAATAACAATGTCATAAATTAACTTTATCCGTAGCCATGTTTATGTGATCACATCTCACTTAATGATATGAGACACTTTTGTTTCTGTTAATTTAGCAAAGCACATATGCATAAATGCCATGATAAGAAGAGAGAGACGTACATATGTATCTCAAATAAACATGCATTTTGAAGTTTGAAATAGCATAATTGGACAGAATTTTCTGGTAAACCTAAATATATGTGTTTTATTAACATTTGAATTAGTTTATTATTTTATTTTATTAATGCTTAAATATGAAGTTTCTCAATTTGTGATGAAAAATTGTTGCTATAAATTTTGCATTATTTAGGCATTTGTCCGGTGAAATTGCGCAAGAATGGATGAGTGTGAGTGATGATAACTTAGCGTACAAAAAGCAGCTTTTAGATCTAGCTGAGCAAATAGTACCATACCATATGGCTCATAATGCTGAAGCTGAAGCTTGTGATCTGGTTATGGAGATTGAACGACTCGATATGCTTGACCAGTATGTGGATGAAGATGCTTTCCCTCGTGTAGCTTTGTATTTGACGAGGTATTTATGAGCTGATAACTTTATGTATCATTGTTGTTTTATTAAATTCTTTTCTACATAAAGTAACATAGTACAAATTCTGAGATCCGGACTTGTCCGGACATCAGCGATTCTTGATTTCTGAATTCTCTGGATTTTAAATTTAGTAAGATGACATGTTGATATTATAAAATTAAAAATAGGAAATAGTTGTTTATGAAATAAATAAAGCATTTATGACTTTAAAGAAACCAGATTAACCCAAAAAACTGAATACATATTTGGTTGTTTTATTAAGCATTTACACATTTCGAGACATTCATTACATTATACACATTTCGAGAGCATTTGGACTAAAGCCTGTTCGAGCTAAAAATATTTAAAAACAGCATATCTTTAAAATTTCTGATAGGCAGTGTCACATGCTGGAGATAAACATGTTTTATTCTATTCTGTTCACATTGAAATCATTGAGTTTTTAAATCAAAAATTCTTTAAAAGTTTTATTAAATATGAAATAAATAATAAAACAAATTTAAAATTCAGGCTTCCAGATCCCCATGTTCATGTGGAAGACTAAATTATTCAAAATCAGATCTCTCTAGATATCATTGTTTTTTCACAAATCAAGAAACATGCATACATTCATGTAGATTCTTCATTATTTAATTTCTTTAAATATAATACAGGGTGATAATATTTGGTGGCAACAATCAGAAAGGTGATTTGAAGCAAAATGCCATTTTGAAAATTATAGCCCTTCTAGGTTAACGTCCCTTTGGGCTAAAAATTGCTTGTGGTCCAGATTTTGGACATCTGGATTTCAGACTTTGTACTGTATTGTATATTTGTGCTTCCATTATAAAATACTCTTTCGTAGTTAAGGTTTTTATGAGATGTAAATCAGAGTAAACTATGTAATATAAAAACTGAATAGCATGTTTTATATTATAATTCTGTATATTATGTATTGAAACTTTGTCTACAGTTTCTTTGTATTTTAAGCATGTAAAATTAATGACTACTATTTGCTTAGTATGAAATAATAAATAATGTATTGTTAATAAACTTATTGCTATAAAATATTTTATAATATGATATAATAATTGGAATATATGAAAATTTAAAAATAGTAATTTATGCTTGGAATGATAATTATACATCATTATAGCATATATTAAGAATATGCCATGTACTTCTCTTGTAACTATGCCTATAATTTAGCAGTGCCTCTGTAGGTAAAAATGCACCATTTAATTTCTTGTACTTTAATTCGTGTGTATGTAGTTTATGTGAGCTTATGTGCATGTGATTATAATTATTACTTAAATTGCATGTAGTTACTAACACTTAAATTACATTAGTTACTATTAATATTGCACATTAGTTACTATTAATATTGCACACTGTATATTTGCATACTTGCAATATACTGTGTTGCAAGTATTATACTTACATCATATGAATTTATACAGACAAATTTTAAAGTACGAGGGCCATCCAGGAAGTAGATTACGTTTCCGTCTGTGTCCGCTAGGGGTGGGGCTAGCGCGGCCATCTTGGGGTCAGAGCGTTGCGCAGCTCAGTCTGCATCTAGCCGTGCTAGTGAGAGGTTCGTGCTGTGCTCCGTTCAGATACTGTGACGGTTTGAAATGTCTGCGTTAATTTAAAATCCCGCGAGGTGCGCTCAGTAATAAGGTTTCTGACTGCAAAAAACTGTAAACCGATAGAAATCTATCGGCAGCTTCGTGAAGTGTATGGGGACAACATTATCACTGAAGGTGGAGTGCATCAGTGGGTCATAAGATTTCAAAATGGCCGAACCAATGTTCACGACGAAGATCGAAGTGGGAGACCCAGCATAGTGACCGCCGAACTTCTCGAAAAAGTCGATGCTAAAGTCCGTGAAAATCGAAATTTCACAATAACGGAACTTTCTTTGAGTTTTTTCACAAATTTTCGAAGTTTGTTGCACGAAATCATCAGCGAAAAGCTTGGTTACCACAAGTTTTGTGCAAGATGGATTCCAAAAATCTTGACAGAGGACCACAAAAATCAGCGAATGGCTGCAGCGTTGAACTTTTTGGACGCTTACCATAAGGATGGTGACTCTTTACTCGATCGCATCGTTACTGGTGACGAAACATGGGTGAAACATGTGAACTGTGAAACGAAATTGCAGTCAATGCAGTGGGGGCACACAAGTTCTCCCCAAAAACCCAAGAAATGCATGCAAACAATGTCGGCAAGGAAGATGATGGCGACTGTTTTTGGGACAGAAAAGGTGTAATTTTGGTGGACTTCCTGGAAAGAGGCACTACAATAAACTCTCAAAGGTATTGCCAAACTCTCCAAAAACTCAGAAGAGCAATTCAAAACAAGCGCAGAGGAATGTTGAGCTCTAAGATCTTGTTCACGACAACGCCCGGCCCCACACGGCAAATGTCACTCGTAAAGTTCTTGAATCTTTTAAGTGGGAGTTGTTTCCTCATCCGCCGTACAGTCCCGACCTGGCACCGAGCGACTTCCACCTATTCCCAGCAATGAAGAAGTGGCTGGCTATGCAGCGTTTTGATGACGACGCACAGCTGCAAGAAGAGGTAACGAAGTGGTTGAAGGCGCAGGCGGCCGAATTTTTCGACGAAGGAATTTCCAAGCTCGTACATCGCTACGATAAATGCCTTAATTTGTATGGTGACTATGTAGAAAAGTAGTATTTGAGTGTGGCTTTCATCTGTATATAATAAAATTTGTTTCCTATACTTTGTTTATTTTTTTATTCCAAAACGTAATCTACTTTCTGGATAGCCCTCGTAAATATCAACATGATTAATGAAAAGACTATTTCGATGAAGTAGATTTTAATGGTCTTTTTATTATGTCATAGAAAAAGCTAACTTTTGCTAAAAAAAATAAGTTTTCTGTTAAACTGTTTGAGAGCTCAAAACACATATTGAATGAAATATTTTCATTAAAAATAACCTAAAAAGTATTGTTTTTTCTTGTAGCCATCTAAAAGTAAAGAATGAATTATTACAGCGACTGTAGTACATTAATATATCGTGAATATAAAAAAGATTTTCGTATTAATTATTGTATGTAAATATCTTTCTTTTTAAGGAGAGGAGTTAATTGAATATGCATGAAAACACGTCTAGAATTACGTTACATCTAGTTATTTACACGTCTAGTTATTTTCTTAATTTTTATGCTTCTTCAGTTTTCTAAATATTTTTTAGTATCTAATATTCTAATCTTATAAGTTGTAAAAATTAGTAATTATTATTTGTCTTATTTATTTCAAATTTTATAAAATAAATGTAAATTAAAATTATATACAACAAAAACCCAATTATTCAGATTCAACTAATCAGAAAGCTGAAGTAAGTGGAATATTTAAAAATTTTAGAAAGAAAAAATTCCCCCAAAAGTTGAGTAATAAAAGATTCTAATGTCGTTATAGAGCTTGCTGGCACTAAATTGCATCATTCAGCTTTCTGATTAGTTGAATCTGAATAATTGGTTTTTTGTTGTATATAAATTTTAATTTACATTTATTTTATAAAATTTGAAATAAATAAGACATATAATAATTACTAATTTTTACAACTTATAAGATTAGAATATTAGATACTAAAAATATTAACATATATATATTATGATTAGTGCAATTTAGTGCCAGTATGATGATGCTTGATAATTATGATGTCAGAACACAATCATAAGAAATTCATTTCAGTTTAATGTAAATTTGATTAAATCTTGATAAGCCTTGTTTAATTTTTAAATGGAAGGATATAAATTATAGTTTTTTTCTCACAGTTTGAAAAAGTGAATAATATTTGGGACTGTGTGGAGTAATTTCAAAGTTACAGAGTCTGGGCAGAAAAAAAGGCGTGACTTAAAATAGATAACGATGGCAGTGTAATATAAAAAATTAATGACAAACATTTTAATTTTTTTATATGCTCTAGTGCTAATTGATATTATTTAACTAAATAAAAAATGAACTATTCATTTAAACTTCAGCCGGAATGATTAGTGACATCCCCATCAACTTTCACTTTGTCAAGATTTCACAATAATCAAAATGTGTCGGCTTTCCCCTTGAAATATTACTTAATCATAAACATAGGCTTTTGATATTGAAGTTGGTAACAAATAAGATGATTGTTTTTATAATTTTAGATACCTTTTCTCCATTTGTTTGGCTTTTCAAATGTGAGTTCTTTTTCTGTATGCTCAACTACCAGGAATTTTCACATATCCAGAAATTTGTCATTTTCCTAGGTCTCCAACTCTCTCTCTATAGAGAGAGAGAGGTTTGCTCTGTTATGCAAAATTGATTTGTGATTATTCATAATGTAGTTTCAAAGAACTTATACTGGTACTTAGTGTTATTGCACAACCACATTAGTAGAAATCGCCAAATTTTCAGAATGTGCCAATTCTGGCAACCATGCACATAACCATTCTTCCAGCAACTCTCCTCACAACTGTCCTTCAGTCAAGCAATGGTGCCCTTTTTGTATGTGTTCGTTTTTTCTTGAATTCCAAGAATTTTTGCAATATTTTTTTTTGTCTGAAACTAGTTTTAAAATATGGCCTTGTGGAATTTGCCAGCAGTGGAAGAAAATTTGGTAAAATTTCTGCAGGAGTATAAAATTTTGCTGGGAATTAAAGGGAACAACAAGAAAATGTATTTCCTAGGTACCTGCTATTGCCGAGTTTTGCACAAAACAGAGTCTCCACAATTCCGTGATTTTTTTTAAGCAAAAACTGACTCCTATGTACATAGTGTACATAGGGAGAAGAACAGTGCAAAAAATTTACAGAAAGATTTGAAAAGAATGTGTTTTATTTCTTAAATGTATCATGTAATCTTTATTTAATAATTAGAATACATATTTTAAATTGCTAATGTTTTCTTTTCATATGTTAATAATGTTTACCATATTACAATAAATATCATAGTTTGGGAATCTTTCTAAATAAGAGACATAAAAACCATAGTTACATATCTGCTAAGTAACTTTTACCATTTTCTCAGTTAAAAATGGCCAACTTGTGATAACGTGGTATGGTTAATATGTAAGTACTCTAATACTGTAATAATAATTGCCATATCTTTAAGTGTTATTCTGAATTCTCTTGAATTTCTTGTGAGGGGGGGAAAGTATATATTATTCTATCAACTGTGAAACTTTTGCCAAGCAGTACATTTTAGCATGATTATGGATAAGCATGACGTAACAATGCACTCATGTAACATCTAGCTTTTGTGTGATATATCCCTCATTGATGTTAATAAACCACCATTTGTTTTTAAGAACAACACTATAAATTAATTACTATTACCATATTTGCCGTTGCATTTTGAAAAAAATCGATAAAAATTTGAAGTCTGCCTTCGACAGAACAGCAAGCAGTGGATTAATTTTAAAGTTTTGGGATTGTACCTTAAAAACAATTTGTATTAATGGACTGCTTTATTTTAAAACGTGAAATAATGACTATGCATCATGAAAAGCTGATACAAGGCGATCCATTCAAAAAAGAACTTGTTCAAGTTCTGCATAATCATATTTGAGATTGGACTCCATTCATTTATATCTGGTTTAGTGAATTAACGTCTGTTTAATGGGGAAAACAACAGCTGAAAAACAATAATAGATGGGACAATCACTCCAGGAAATTTGAACGCATAGCATTCTAAACAGAGTTTACGGTCAAATCAGAAGGCCTAACAAAATTGTAAAAATTGACAAAATCCTTTTTACAGAGTGCAAAAGTGGGTTGAAGATCGATTGTTTCTTAAATAAATAGGCACCAATTCATTCAGAATTCTGCAGGAATGATTGGGATATTTATTAATTTTCATGGTTGATAGGATAATATATAAGTACAAGAGGGGGAAAACTTCTTAGCATAATTATTTTAAATAATATCAATTATTTCAGTTGTGTTCCATATGTTTCGGAACCTGAGAACACCAATCTGTTGAAATGTGCTCTGCAGCTCTTCCGAAAATTCAATCGTTATCCTGAAGCTTTACGTGTGGCTATGCAGTTAAATGATATTGCTCTGATTGAAGAGATATTTTTATCTTGCAAGGACAGGTAAGTAATCATGAATTTATAAGTCTTTGTGTCATTTACTCATATATGTGTGTATATATACAAACATGAAAATAAAGATTTTAATTCAGTATAATTGTTTATTGCGTATGTATGCTTGTACTTGTGTAGTGTGTATGTATTCTTTGCAGTAAAACTATTCTGGAGATTTGTGCATGACGAGACATACATGCAAATGTCTCGTGATAATATATTCTGATTATTTTAATAATTACTAACTTATATGACATAGACGCCAATTGTCTCAGTTTTTCATTGCATATTCCTGGTCTCCTGGGAGATACCAAATCTTCTGATTTCTAGTGTTTATATAAGTAGTATATAAACACTAAAAAAATGTTTTGCTTCAATAAATTGAATGAAATTTATTGAATTGATTAAATTAAAATTTTGCAAATTCTCTTTCCCTAACCAATAGTTATATTCAGTATAACATTTCTTAAATTTGTTTTGATCTGAATTATCTTCATGTGCTGTAGATATCTGTAGAACTTTTTTCAAAAATTTAAGCAAAGTTTAATCAGTGCAAACTTTGCTCTTTACATATGCTTTGCATTGTGTTCTGTTTAACGTTGTAAGTAGTTTAAAGCGGTAACTACTGCTTGTACTCTGTCGTACCAAGAAGAGCTGTACAAGTACTTTTGTGGAAATTCAAGAACTGTAAAGTGTTTCAAATTTTATCGATCAATTCAATTCAATCAAGCTCTCATTGGCTCTGTGTGCATACAGTCCACTACAATTTGGCATGCTGCAGCAGTATGCATATTAATTATTAATTTAATTTCCATTATATTTAAAACATACTGTGATAAATGAAAGCTTTTAAAGAATGAAATTACCAAAAAAATTATAAATTTTTAAATATCTAATTAAATATCAATGTATTTTATGTCAGCAGTAATCTGAATCATGCCTAATAAAATCAAATTAAGTCAGTTTGATTTTTTTTTTTTTTTTTTGAATGGCACAATCTTAAAATGCCAAAACCTCCCGTAAATTCATGGTTTTTCATTTTTCAAGGTTGGCAACAATGATATAATATCAGAGCATGAAATTATGTGAAATAATCATAGTACAGTACAAAGTCCGTAATTCGGACTCGTCGGGACTTCGGTGATTCCGGATTAACCGCTTGCCTGATTATCCTGAGTTATCTCGGGTTCGTATATATTGCAGTTAATTATTATCTTGAGAAAACTCGGACGAAGCAGAATTTGTTACTACGATTTCTTTTATCATGGTTTTACGCGGTCTGGAGGAAATGAAAGGAAATATTGAGCGTTGATTGGCAGTTTGCCAAATTTTTTGGTTGCGCGGTTGTTTTGGAGGGACTGGTCGCGTGTTTCCCTATTGTATAGTATATGTTGGCTTGTGGATTAGTGATGTATAAAGAAGGGTGCATGCGTTGGAAAAAAAATAAAAGAATGCCGATGATGGAAGATAGCGAAAGCGATGATTTTTCAAGATAGTGATTATGAAAAGATTGGGGGGAGGGAATTCAAATCCAACAAGACAGTGTACTACTCTGTGCTCCCGTGAAAGAGATTCCAGCGGTAAGTTAGTAAGAAAAGAGACCAGATACCAGTGTAGAACGTCAGGTATCACTCTGTGTTGTCCCTTATTTCAAAAACAATCATACAAAGATTAATATTTAACTATTTTCGTTTGCCCGAGATAACTCGGAATAGTAAACTAATATTAAAAATAAATACTTTTACACCTTCAACCTTTCACACCTACGTGGCGGCGCGCAATGAACTGGAAGTTGATCTGTCAACACTATCGTTATCTTCAGGGCAGATGTTTTTATTTTATTCGGCTTATAATTCCTTATTAAATGTAGTATTTCATCTCGATGTACTTCATCTTTGATATGATTTAAATCAAATGCCTCGTCATTATAAATATTACGATACAAATCAAATAGTTTTCTGGTTGCAATTTTCTAATTTCGGCTATGCATAATGATGCTTTACGCATGCGCGCATTGAAAGAAATGTTTAATAAAGTAAACAAATAATATTAAGCTTTTTTTTTTTTGTAAATTTTGATACCCTTTAGATCATAATTGCTCATTATTGTATAAATTACGGTTTCATATTTTTAATTTTATAATTTCTGCATGCCATCTTACCAGATTTAAACTGATGATCGATAATCCGGAATCACTGAAGTCTCGACGAGTCCGGATTAAATACTTTTGACTGTATTATGCATCACAAATTTGAAAGATAATCCTGGGTACACAACTCCATGCACTAAGAGTTGCTTTATCCTGTGCACTGGAACTCAGCTTCTTCAGAGCTTCAGCAACTTGGTTGAGTTCATGTGCACTAGAACTTGCAAATCATGCTGGTACATTAAGGAAAGTGTACTCCAGCAGTGGCATGCTAAGGCAGATGTAAAACTCCTGACTTGTCGTTGAACACTTGCATTTAAGTACTTGACTTGTTGTTGCACTTTAAGTACTTGATCCATTGATCTCATGGGAAGGTTGAGAATAGTTCTATGTAGGCAGTAGTTCCCAGGTTTCTTTTATGCTGTGAAATTGGCATTTCAATTCACAGGAGTTAATTTCCTCAATAGATGGCACCACCACCACTGTAACTTTTTGTGAAAACTTGACCGTTGAATTGGTACCAATATATATAAACTTGAAAATTACCTTATTTGATTCTAAATGAAATGTGTTGAGATGTGTGCTATATTGAGGCGAATCCATGAAATCACTGAACAATTTGTATCTTCTTTTAAGATTAACAGTAATAATAATACTGCAATAGACAATAGTACTATGTCAAGAACCAGTTGAGATACATATTAAAAAACTAGGTATTAACAAATTAATTGGTATAATGTAACACATTTTATAAGTATATTTTTGATGTTTTTATAATTCAGAAATATTCTTTTTTCTTCCTTGTACGAAGTAAAAAGGAAGTATTGTATTCGCGAAAAGTTTCAGCCAGCATATTTCAACGAAAATATCCATTTTGACTGCTATCGAATGCAATTTAACAATGTTTTTGCGTGATATCTGTACGTAAGGACAGAATAAAAGACCCATTTCCTCCAAAAAATTATAAAATGCTTTAAATTAATTCTGAAGAGAATTTTTTGTGGCGTCTGTACGAACGATGTATGTTTGTATCTCGCAAACTCAAAACGAGTAGCCTCAGAACGTTGAAATTTTGTATAGGGCTGCTATAACATGTTAGATGTGCACCTCGTATTTGGTTGCAATCGGCTCACAAACGTATAAATATATTTATATATATATCACCCGGCTCACCGTTCAGTGAATCTCAGTTAATACTTTTTATCTTCTGGTTAAATGTTTTTAGTTGTATCAATATTTAGAAGTTTTTAAGGGCCGCTAAGCCTTTTTTTTTATGGGCCATTGATTGTTTACATTTGATAGCAGACTAGTGGATTTGTTGCCAATCTAGAGAATTAGCTTCGCAAAACAAAGATAACTCCTCATTTATTATTGCCAATTAAAATCTTTCTGGAATTTTTTCGAGGAAATAAGTGTTGAAAGATTTACTTCTAATTTAAATTATGAGTTTTAATGTATTTTGCCTTCTCGCGAAGTGAGAACTGAATTAATTGAATGAGAAAACTCAATCGTCTGTGAAAACTGTTTCTTTTTGTTTGTTTGCTTAATTTCTTTTATCATCATTCTAGCTTATTATAGTATTTTATAAACATGTGGCAACGATTAGCTAATTCTATTCTTTAAATATAAATTTTGTGCATTATAGTTATAAAATGAATGAAATGTAATGCTGTTATGAATCTAGCGCCAAGTGTCGCTAGGTAAACAATACTAGAGTGAATTTTAAGAATGCTTATTCTATTGTGGGTTTATGCGCTGTCGGCGAAGTAGATTTAATTCAATCCAATAAGTTTAAATAAAATGCAAGAAAAAATGCGTATAATCTAATATTCCGTACAAGGATAATATTCTGTACGTGTGGTGTACACATCAGATTTTTTAAGAAGTAACTGCTTGCAGTTATTATACATACAAACTACAGTGTATGAAAGAAAAATTAATGCAAGTATATGTTTAAATAAGTTATTTTTGAATCTGTTTAGTAAATTTTATTGTTACAATAAAGTGGAAAATAATTGCTATTAAATTGTCTTATACTGTGAGAATGAAATAAAGTAATATCAACAGGTATTTTTTAAATTTTATTTGTGATTAAGAAAAAGTAGCATTTTTTTAAGACAGATAAATTAAAAGAATTATTTTGCAAAATGTTTTGGTAAAACAAAAAATGTTATATTTGTACATGTGTATTTATGTTTGCTTATATTTTTAACACTTACTGAAATTCTGAATTTTTGGGGTGTGTTGTCACTATAATTATGTTCCTGAGTGTGATTCCATATTCTTTTTTATTATGTGTCTGTTGATTTATTTTTTTTTTATCCTTAGTTCAATTCAGAAACAGATGGCATTCATGTTAAATCGTCAGCAAATTTATTTAGAGCTTGAAGGTGATGACAATTCTGAGTTGACTGATATCATGACTAATGCTCATTTAAATAATCACTTCCTGGCTTTAGGAAGAGAGGTATGGCAATATATAAATTCTTTTCTCCTTTGAAAATTATTTTAGGCAATGGAAATTGTCTATATATGAAGGCATGAATATTGCGTAATAAAATTAATGTATTTTAATGATATCATTTGCGATATCCTTTAATTTATTGTGTTAGCATTTTTAAAGGGACTAATAGTTTTGAGCAAAATGCTTTATAAATGTATGTATTTTTCTTTATTTTTATTTGCTCCTTATTTTTTATTCTAGCTTGATATTCTTGAACCTAAAACTCCTGATGATATTTACAAAACCCACCTTGATAATACAAGTAAGTGTACAGTGATGTTTATGTTTAATTCATGCTTAGAATGTAGATGTATGATTTTGTGTACGATAAAGATTGTAAACTGATATTTGAATACTTTTCCCCTATAAATTGTTCAAATCATTGTATCCAAAAAATATATGAAGTAAAGACAAGCCTGAATAAAAGCATTGTTAAATTATGAAAACATTTCCTATTTCTGTCTTTTTGATTGATTTAGGATTTTTTAAATTTTTTAAAATATTCATCAGAGCTTATCTCTAAGAGTGCGTAGAATTCTTATGTCGTGCATATGTACTCATTTTTTATGAAAAATAAATTTTAAAAATGATTGTGATACATGAAAAGACACGAACATTTTTCATGCAAAAAATATAATACTGCATATGTGTTGTTTCTGGATAGGTAATGCAAAATTTATTCTGTTTAAATACAATTTAACATTATAGATAAGTATATTATTATTATAGTTAGATTGCATTTACTGTTGTAATATTTGTATCATTTGTCTGAGATTGAACCAATAGACATATGCTGCACTTTATTTGTTAAAAAAGGGAAAAAAGAGAGATAGAAAAAAAGAAATATTAGTGATTTTCCTCCATGTTTTGAGTTAGAATGAAGACAAAGTGTAAAGAATTAAATTTTTTTTCAAAATGGTGGAATAGTGTCAGTTTTAAATATTATTGAAGTAACTTTTTACAAAAATAGGAGTCTGCTTTAGGGAATTTGGGCACGTTTTTCAAGAAATTTGAAAAACATTCCATATTTTTATCGACCTCCTTTAGATTTTATACCATAATGGGGAATAAGAGGTAAACAAACGTATAAAAGAATAAAAAAAAAAAAATCTGAATGTTATTTAAAAGTTTCTAATTTTTAATGAACTTCAATTATATAGAACTATTTGAATAAAATATCTTATGAATAATAAAAATAAAGTTCAGGTAGTAATTGGGAAATTTTTATCATGTTTTTGCATATTGAAATTAATAGTTTTATATATCTTTTCCTTTCTATAGGAAGCTAAAAAATTTTAATTCTTGTTATTCAGTGTCTATTTTTACTCGATATAGAGTAAAGTTTATTGTACACGAGTCCAACAGTAATATGATTGAAGGTCACCCACTGAGCGAATGCTAAAATCTCTAGGATTTCAAGACCAAGGCAAATGAACTAGCTGCACAGGAGTTATCATTATTTTTCCCGTGTGTAGTATTGAACAAGCCCATTACCCTTGAAAATTCCTCCATGGAGGAATCCTTTCCCTTATGCAGACAGCTCTCGTATGCTTTGAGATATGCTTCATATGCAGTCGAAATTGTAACCTATATTTGGATAGTAACAGGTACTTTTATATAGCTTATAGAATAAAATGATGTCTTCCATCATTGACTGCTTGTTACACTAAAGTATTGTGCAACAGAGGCTTGCTTGAATACTCTCTGCTGTTCGTGTGCTAGGGGAATTGGTGGCAGTTACCAACATACCCCTTTTTTTATGTTGACTCTCCTATACCTGAAAAGTAAAACAAAATGCATATTGGACAATATTCAGTTCTATAATTGTACAACAGTTTTGATCTTTAACTGGAGTCAGAGGTTAATACATCAGCTCCCATTCCACTGCTAGGTATGTAATTGCACATCCAATTCACCACTTTCATATACTTCGCCCACACAAAGTTATGGCAAATGTGTATATGCTTTGTATGGAAGTGAAACACTGAGTTCTTAATAATTTTCTGAGCTCCTTGATTGTCAGAGTATATTGTTGGATTTTCTATGTTGTGTGCCAGCTCCTTCAGGTAGCGATGTAGGTAGATGGTTTCTTTGGCGACCTCAGACATATTCTGCCTCCATTGACAATAGAGCTAAAAGCAGTTAGAAGTTGAACTATCGCAAATTGTTTCATACGTTTGCTTAGAACTGCTAAAAACGAAAAGATCATTTACATATACAATTATGATAGTTTCATTGCTTGATGTCATTTTAATATAAACACAATTATCTAAATTAAGAGATTTAAATTTCTAATTGAACTAAATCAACATAAATATCACCTACCTCTTGAATTTCTTGGAACAATTCTTTGCTGTTATGCAAATGCGATGTTGCACCACTATCCAAACAAAAAGCGTCTTTAGAATTACTATTTGTGCACGATAGGACCTTTTCTTGTTGTTCTGTGCAGTTATGATTTTCTGCAGACATGGCAATCTCTCTAAGGCTTTGTTTTTATTTTCTTTACTTTTCCTTCTTGCATTCTGATGCTCTAAGCCCATATATATTGCAGAAGTTGCAACTGTAGTTAACTGGATACTGTTTTGGGTTTGAAAAGAAATCTTGTTTCGCTTTGGAAACTGGTCATTGATTATATTTTCAATCTTTTGAATACAACACATGCTGTGATTCAGAATATGATGAATCCTTATTTTTGCAAGCATTAGCTTCTTCCAGCAGTTTAATTTTCAGCCTTTCTGGAGAAGGCAATTTCTTGTGAGATTTTATGGCTGTTCGAAAGTTTAGAGTCCAGGGTGCTATATAAAAGCAATATTATAAGGAAATCACCCGCAATGTTGTTTTCAGTTTGTCCACAAGTATAAAAAAATAACTTACATGATCAGCCATTTGTTTAGAATCACTCATTTTTGTAAAAAGCAATTTTTTTTAGAATCGTAGCCTATATATCTGGCCTTTTCAGTTCGTAAATAGACCAGATAGTTCATGAGATGTTACACATTTCTTTACTTGTTTAAGTTCACTGGGTAAAATTGATAAGTTTATATCTGCTCATGCTTTTGGTCAGTAGATTTTCATTTAATGTCTGCTTCGATACCAGTTTCTGGTTTTGGAATTTCCCAGTTACATAGTCCATGCGATCATTTTTAATCAGGATTGCTTCCACTTGCAATTTTCACGTGTCAAAGTTGTCCTTTTTTAGTTTTTCAATTTAAACTGTATTTATTGTCATCATTTTCAATTTCAGGCGATTCAACTTGGCTTGCCCAAAGAATTGAATAGTGGTGGTTGTGCTGCACAGTTAAATATTTCCTGGGCCCATAACTAGTATAGTATGAGTATAGAATAAAATGACATCTTCCATCACTGACTGCCTGTTACTAAAGTATTGCACAGCAGATGCTTGTTTGGATAAACCTCTGTTGCTCATGCACCAGGGAAATCGATGGTGGTTGCCAACATAGGTTTAATATAAAATATGTATATTTTCAATTATAAACAGTTTTATTCAGTTTATGTAAAGTTAGGGCATTAATTATATGTTGCTATAAATTGCTGAATTTCTTAGAACTTGCTTTTCATAAGTTGAAGTAAACACTTTGTAATTGCACCACTTAATGCTTAGTAATCATTTTAGGTTATTTTATTTTAAATTTAACCTGAAATTTAGGTCCAATTATATTATAGAATCAGGTAATGCAAGCTTTTTTACTTTATGGATGGATACATTTTTAAGTTTATTTATTTATTTTAGATTTTATGAGTTTTAATTTGTTGTAACGTAATTTATTATTACTGAATTTGATTGAGTTCATAATTTCAGTATCATAAAAGGAGTTTAATTTATTTCTTACTTTCCAAAACATTTAAGTGAATGAAACCATAGAGAAAATTCACCAGATAACAAAATGAAACAGTTTAAAACAAAAGTTGTAGTATAATAATTTAATTAAAAGTAATTTATAAGTAATATTTTATCTTTTCAGGGCCATCATTTGGTCCCAGTGGAAGTGTTGATTCAGCGAAACAGAATTTGGCTTCAAGTTTTGTGAATGGGTTTGTAAATGCTGCATTTGGCCAGGATAAACTTTTAATGGAAGATGGCCAGAAATGGTTATATAAGAACAGAGAACACGGTAATTAACTAAAAGAATATATTTTTATATTTTTATTGCATTCATGTATTTAAGATAATATGTGGAGTATATATATATATATATCATGTAATATAAAATAGCTTGCACTTAAAATTTGTGTGACATTTGTGAAATAAATATATTTTTAGATTATATCCTGCAATTTTTTGGCTTTGTAAAATTTTATAAAACTAGAAATTTGTGTAACTGTTTCATATGTAGACAATATTTATGCAGTTTTACTCAAAAATTGAGTAATCTAATTTTCATAAGTATGCATGCAAATTTAGTTAACTTGTGTATGTATTTAACCTACTGCGATGATCACTGTATGTGTGCGTCAGATGGGAGCTCCTTTATTAATTTTTCCATATAGAACATTCATGTGCCATTAATGATTGGCATTTATAGCCGATTGCTGTTGATATAAAATATTTTTTCCTTTCTTGATTTTCTGAATAAAAACTTGTGTTTTTAAAACAGAAATGAGAGTTCTGTTATCTTTTCCAAATTAAACTTCTCTCTACAGGCAGGTGTTATTTTCTGAGGTTGTTTCATTACTTTTTTATTTATGTTCCTTTCTTTCCTCATTTTTGAGGTGCTGTTTATCTGTAGTAAGCAATGTTAAATATGAAATAGATGAGTCAAATTGTTGGGGGTTAAAAAATTTTGTATTGTCTGTTCGAAAAATAAATTTACTGTAATGAAATGATAAAAATGAATAATAATGAAAGTGCAATTGATAGGGAGTCTTATGTACTTTATTTCTGAGTGAATTAAAGTCGACAAAAACAGCTTTATATCAGCGTAAAAAAAAGTTTCATTGTCTTCAAGAATAAGGTAAAAATCTAACCATATCAGAAGATATTCTTTCATATCCAAAATAATACTGGAAATATTTTTTATTAAATGAAGACAATCTACTCAGTTGCTAACAAAAGGCACCTCTAAATAATACTATGTTACTTGGCCAGAGAATATCAACATTTGTTAGGTATTGGTCTTTTGCAGTAACATATATATACATTAATAAATTTTTTATTATTTTTTAATGAAGAATATAGTGATTTTTAAAAAAATATAAGTATGGATTGCATGCAAAATCTGCACTTCACCCAGTAGATATACAGTTTCTGTACAGCAATAATGAATTAGGTTTTTTAGAGTTATGATGATTGTCTTTTAATTTTCCGAAATCCAAAAACTTTTGCTTAAGAATTATATAGTTTTTGGAATATTTTCTCTTTTTTGTTAAAAAAAAGGCACCTTTAAGGGTGGTAGTGCATTAGAAAAGTTTTATTTACTCCATGTATTTGCTTATCTGCTACACTTACAACACCCCACCTTTTTTTTAAACATTTTTTATAATTAGGTATGCTGAGTGCAACAGCTTCGCTTGGATTAATCCTATTGTGGGATATTGATGGAGGTTTAGGACAAATTGATAAATACCTCTATTCTTCTGAAGAATATATAAAGGTAAATGATTCATTAAAATCCTCTCATTTTGAGTTCTTCATTTGGTACAGTTGCTAATATTATTTTTTTCTCTTTTGACTTTTATTAGGCAGGTGGCCTTTTAGCATGTGGAATAGTTAATTGTGGTGTAAGAAGTGACTGTGATCCTGCTCTTGCACTTCTTGGTGATTATGTTCAGCATAACAGCATGGTAATGAGGACTGGTGCTGTAATAGGGTAAGTTTATTATAAATATGTACTGAGGTAGGATTAATTTAGAAAGGATGCAGTCCAGAAAAAGTTATTACTTATTTTAGAATAGTGAGGGTAAGTACCCAAATTAAAATAAGGAATAAAGGGGCTATTGGTAAAATTAATAATTTTCTTTCATGTGTACCTTACATATATTTATACAAAAATAAAAGCATTCTCTTTAGATCAAAAATCTTCGTCTGCTAAAGAACTGGATATAAAATGGTAGTTTTAGTCCAATTACATGAATATGCTACTTAATTTAACCAGTGTAGTATAAACGCTAAAGGCTTCTGTTATTTTAACCCCATCCTGAGATGGAGGGAGGGAACAAACCTATAGTATACAGCATAGTGTAGTGTTTATTATATGCTTAATGCTTATTTTCTAATAAAAGTTTAACATTTCGTAGATAAGATTTCTTTATTCCCATACAAATTTGCAATCTTCCCATATGATTTTCTTAAATTTCTATTTGAGTCATATTCTGTGTTTTCAGTCCAAAGCCTTGCTTACATATTTTAATAGTTTGTGAACATATTTGCTTTGCATGCTATTTATAAGGCAAATATCTCATTTATTACTCCTACTATACTCATTTATTACATTACTTCAGTAGAACTAGGGCCTTTAGAAAACCTTAGAAACCCTAATGGCATTAAAGTTAGTTAAAGCCATTATAAGGCTTAAAGAGCTTTCTGAAATGAGAGATGCAATGTGTCGCTGATCAGAATGAAGGCAAATTTAAGAGAAAAGTCTGGCTATGAAAAAGGTAGTTAAATAGCCTATTTATGTGAATAGTCGTTTTTTTCCGGTATCTTAACTTTAAATTAACAAACATTTAAGAATACAACTTTCGCATATGGACTGTAAAATGTACCTTTTTATTCAGCAGTTTTTAACTTTAGAACATAACACAGTGAAGAGCAAAGTGTGAAAGTTACAGTTAGCAGTTACAAGAATACAAAAAGCAAACTACAAGCTGCGGATTGTGAAAATAAGTTTTCATAGAAAACTAAATATCTGAGGGATGATTTGTAATTTAAGAATATACACAATATTCTGAAACGACTTACTTCATTACAACAGATTGATTGACCAGATCATGTGTACAGGTTTCTTGTTTTTATAATATGAAGATATGGAGTAGACATAATACTTACCGTAGGAAGAAAAATACCAGATAGATCACTTTTCCTACCTGAAACTAGAAACATCCCCTTCCTCTGAGCTGTTTTAAATTACTACGGTACCAAGGTAGTGAAACAACCTCCCTTCCAAAAAGAAATAAATTTTAAATTGTTTGTTTTTTTTGTATATTCAATTGTTATATAACCTTCCCCTCTTTTTTTCCCCTTTTTTTTCCAGAATGGGAATTGCATATGCTGGTACTAACAGAGACAATGTTTTGTCTTTATTGATTCCTGTCATTAGTGATTCAAAATCAAATATGGAAGTAAGAAAATAATATATTAAAAATTGTTTTTGTAACATAGTTCATGATTAAGTGTTTATTTAGTTTTTTTTATATGTAAATAAATATATTTTCAACATTTTTGTAATGCATGCAGAAGAGAAGCATGCTAATGTAAAATTTAAAATTAGGACAAACAGCAGCTTAAAGACCAAATCAGGTTGCTGTTTTGCCTAATTAAAACTCTTACAATGGTTTATACAGTTTAATTCAAGCTAACTATTATGCTAAATATGGCATATCATTTATTATAGTATTAAATTATGTTGATTGTCTGGTCAAAATTTTTTATGTATAAATAAAAAAATTCCAAGCATTTTCAGAATGCTGCAGTTTTTATGCAAATACAAATATTGCATATGCTATTTTACATATAATTGAAGAAAAGGAACAAAATGTAGGTATAGAATTTGCAATTATAATGATTTATTATCTGATACTAAAGTTTTTTTGTTAAAGCATTGTAAATTATAATAGCATAAACAAAACAAAACATGAATTTCATTTGAATTATTGAAAAAATCTGGAGTTCTGCAATTAATAATGAAAAGCTTTATATTATCTACATTGTAAGCTTTTAGCTTGTTGATGAGTATCTTAATTTTTTTGGAGATAACTTTTTTTTTCTTCTAGTTTATTTGCTTTTGACATTTAATATTATTTTTTGCCTTTTCTTAAATTAAGTGTTCTTATTTTTTATATAATATGTGTGTTTATTTATCTTTTCATAATATTTATATCATTTTAAAATTTTCAGTAATTTTATGTTTTGTGTTGTTTGTTGTTATTGGTGATGTGCTGTTTTCAAGGTTTTTATATATATAATATATATATACAATACATACACATTGTGTATGTATTCAGAGTTTAAGGCTATTTAATTTCAAGTTTTATACTTATGAATTTGCTGTTATTAGAATTTCCTCCGTTCTTGAAAGGAAACAGATTCTTATTAAAATGTATTTTTCATATTATGATCAACTTTTTAACACTTACTATTTTATTTATTTATTTTTTAGGTTGTAGGGCTTTCAGCTTTAGCATGTGGTATGATTGCTGTTGGATCATGCAATGAAGCTGTTACTTCAGCCATTATCCAAGTATTACATGAGAAAAGTGAAGCAGATTTAAAGGACACATTTGCTCGTTTCCTGCCACTTGCATTGGGGCTTTGCTACTTAGGTATAAATGTCAAATTTTGCTCTAAATATAATTTTATTCTCTGTCAGTTATAAAGCTATGTCATAGGAAATGGATATTCAGATGGCTCAGAAACATTTCATCTTTTTATAATAGTAATGTAGTAAGTGATGTAGAAAACAGTATTAATTCAAAAATGTCTTATGAAAAGTGGAGTATGATTTTTGTTAAGACAGTATTCAAATAGAAGTGTTATAAAGATGTTTGTTATTAATATATCCATTTGGCATATATTCAAGAAGATTCAGGAACAGCTAATGTTATTTTTGCTCATGGAATTTGCTTCATCTTTAATGTAATTTAGATGTAACATCAGGGTTTGACTGAAACAGATAAGTGGGTTAGCACATACATTTAAAGACTTTATACAGTACAAAGTCTTTAATCTGGACTTGTCGGGACTTCGATGATTCCGAATTAGGGGTTTTTCCGGATTATAGATCATCAATTTAAATCTGGTAAGATGGCAAGCAGAAATTATACAATTAAAAATATGAAACTGTAATTTATGAATAAAGGGCATTAGATCTAAGGTATCAAATTTATAAAAAAAGCTTAATATTTATTTGTTTATACTTTTAAACATTTCTTTCAATGTGCGCATGTGTAAGCATACGTTTCATAGTCAAACTAGAAAATTGCACCAGAAATCGATTTGATTTGTATTCGTGTACTTATCTTGACGAGGAAATTGATTTAATCATCGGAGTACAACGATAAAACGCTACATTTAGTAAGGATTATAAGCGAATAAAATAAAACATCTGCCCTGATATGAGGATAGTGTGACAGATCAACTTCCATTCATCGCCTGCCACGATGTGCTGCCCCCCCCCCCCCCCGTCCCCTCCAGAGCACATGAAATTGATAAACAGATTTCAGAATGGTTAGAAACAAGGTATGCCTTGATCTATTTTTTTACAGCATTCCCTTTTTGTTTGATGACATCGAACATGATTTGCTTGTAATAGATCCTTTGGCGCTCCAGAACGGAAACTCTTTTGACATAATAGAAGTTCAAGCTTACTTTTTATAAAATTGTTCTTACAGTCTGCAAAAAATATAACCGGACCCGTTAGAGATTGGAACGCGCAATCTGCAACATTAACTGAAATAATAATTATAATTTTGCCTAGCTTATACCGTCCGTTATATATTAAACGTGCATGCGTAAACACATTATGCATTTACACATGCACATAAAGTTTGTAGCTTTGAGGTCCGGATTATAGATCATTCCGGATTATGGACATCCGGATTAAAGACTTTATACTGTATTCCACATTACGAGGTGTGGTGTGAAATTCCAACTCATGGCAAGAATAATTTCTAATCATGCGAATAATAATTTCTGTTCATAATTATTAACTTCTATTTATAAGATATATTGACAATTTATAGTAAATTATTAAGATTCTGATATTTTTATTTCCTGCATTTTTAACTGTTGCTGTTTTGTAGTTGGATTATGATAAATTATCACTGTTATCCAATAAACTAAAAGTAAAACTTATATCTAAAACAAAGTACATTTAAAAAAAAAATTATTATTTTTTAATTTTTATATTTCTTGTTTTAATTTTAACATGAGAGACAAATTTTACCCCATTCGACTTTATCGAATTCCTTTGTCCTCCTAGAAATTTCCATTCCTTCTTGAATTCCTTTGTTTTTCTAAGAATTTCCATTCATTGGTGGTTTTTGAAAGTTGGTATAGATGTTTTCCAAGAAAAAGTGATTAATACATTTTTGCCCTTTAATTCCGATGTATGGATTTTCAGATGAAATAAATCAGGTAATTATAATAATAACTTGTAGAAGAAAATATTTTATGTTATCTCAGATTTCTAGATTTCTTCAGTGGAAGATTTAGTTTAATGAAAAATTATTCTTTATTTTAATTGTTTAAAGCAGAAAAATGAATTTTATTAATATGTAAGTTATAATGAAGTAAATAAGTTTAGATGCATATCTACTTATATTGTATCCTAGAAGGAAATATTTACATTATTGCATCTGTAACACTGTAGAATAATGTTACTGAAACATTGCAGGAAAAGATACTTATTTAAATTTTTTACAATACAGAGTTAAAGCTGGAATCTAGGAGTGTGGATTGTGTTATATAATTAAACTATTTAACAATTAAGAACTATATATTTTAAGATATTGCAAATGTTACTACTTAACATCATTTCTGTGTGATTGAATAATCATGTTAATACCTATATTGTAGTAGGTAAATGCGTGAATAGGTGCAATATAAAAAAAAAAAAAAAAAAAAAATTCTAGCAAGAGTACTCAAGGTGAACAACATACATCATTATAATCAGACAATAAATATTTGATATTTGCGTTGCGAAAAAAATCATTTGCAAGTAACCCATTCTATGACTATGGTCCAGTGTAAAAGAATTAATTAAAATAATTACAAACAAGGCAAGTAGAATCAAACTAACATTTATTTTTGGTGAAAAAGATATTTGAGTACATTGCTGATAGATTCATGATACTCACTATTTCCATTACAATTATTAATAGGTGGCTGGTTAACAACTTTAGCTGAAGAACACAAAAATATAAAACATACCTTTAAAAAAAAACATGGTCAGAGGGGGGCATGGAACTATTCACACAAAATCTTGAAAATACAAATGTAGTTAGTCTTAGACATCCTTACAAGGCTTGCAGCATATCTGTTAAAAAAAAAGGTTGAAAGAAGTTAGCAAAATAAATAAAATCAACCAAAGATAACAACGACGATGTCTGGCTCCAGTTTTCCGCCCAAAACAGCAATTCTATCAGGATGGTTCGATACGTTTACCTACCATATGCCATTTCTGAGTGGATCATGGATCCGGACTTCTATTTGTTCACGGCTTAACATATGGTGTTCGACCTATTCCCTGGAGCTCTCGGAGGTCTGCCAGACAGAGGATAGAAGTAGGTATCATCTTGTCGCTGCAGCTCCGTCAAGAAAAAAGGGTCTATTTTAAAAATCTTTTCTCCGTCTCTCCTCCTTGAAAACACTGTGCAGCCACTTTAATAGCTGGTGCACTTTTTGAAAAATTTGGCAAAGAAGGTGATCAACAAGAAGCCAAGCACAGCAACCCAAACAAAGAAATTTTCACGGGAAAAGGTTTTCTGACTACCAGAAGCCCACCAGCGGCCGTGCGGTAAAGTCGCTGAACACTGGTAAGTTCGGTCCGAGGTTCGAATCGCCCGAACGGGCTGGCTGCATGGGCGTTTTCGTGGTTTTCCTTCCCCATGTGTAACGTGTAAACGTAACGAGCCAGTGTTCCCTAGAAAGTCTCCCACGAAGGCAATCCTCCCCTTTAGGCAGATAGCCCTCGAGGCTTTGCCATAATCACACACACACATTTCCTGACTACCAGAAAGAGTCCACAAGTGCAGTTCAACCTTCGGCCTCCAAGGCCACTCCGCTGGATCAACAACTCTCCGCAGACGAAAACAAGGGGGGGGGCACTAGCCTCGCTTGAGGCGCAACTCGACCATGTAGAGCTTCCTATCCAATGACTTTTCATCCCCCTCCTCAATAACTCCCGGTAGAACCTTTTCCTGCTAAAGATGTCACAGCAACCGAGATCCGGTTTCCAGATGGTGCAAATATCCAACACGTTATCCGACGTATGTTCGAATGCTTGGGTGAAAGAATCTTGGGGTGCAGTAATCCTCTGACAAGGGATTCTGAGAATGAATTCCAAGCTGACGGTTGGGATGAGAAAATTTTCAGAACCAGTGCATAGTTATGAATTTAGGACATTAAAACTTAAACTATTACATAGCAATATAACTCATTAAAAAATGTCAGTACTATATAAACTGTTTCTTCAGCAGCATTTTAAGTATACAGACTCATTAACCAAATTGAGTTTCAATTACTATTGATTTACCTTACCACTAGTCAGAAAATATGTATTCGACAACTTTAATAGAAAGAGGGGTAAAAATTAAGTTACCTTTAAGTTAAAAAATTAATGCACTAAAAGTGCAGCAAACAAAACTTTAAAGTAATTAAAGTTAAAAGTTAAACAACCTTAAGGGTCAAAAACCTTTTTATTTGGAAGTGCAATCATTTTAAATAAATCAGTTTTTAAGCATGATTATCTTTGTTGCAGGAAAGCAAGAAGGAGCAGATGCAATTATCGCAGCACTTGAAGTGTTGAATGAGCCTTTTAAAAGCATGGCAAAAACAATGGTTGATATTTGTGCCTATGCAGGTGAGTCAACTCCTCTGATAAAAAAAACGAAAAAGAAAACTTGAAAAACGATAATTAGATTTCAACAATTAAAACATGTTTTTAAATAGTTTGAGTGTAAATTCAAGATACGATACTTGATAGATTCATTTCTATTTCAAAAGTCTAATTATTTGTAAAAAGTGTAATATTCTCAATTTTAAAGGTTGAAAATGTTCTTCTAAAGGTTTGTAATGAATACTGTTTCTTTTTGTTATGCTATTTTTTGGGGGGGGTATTAAAATATGTTGCCAAAGTTAAATAGTACCAGTTAACGTTGTAATGTATCATTACAGGGATAAGTAGAATGATTTTTATCTAATTAAATTAATAAAATATACAGTAAAAGTCCAGAAATCCACAACGCTTGGGATCAGAGGTTGTGCGGATTTTAGGATTTTGCGGATTTCAGGACAGAAAAGATAATATTCAGACTAAAAGTGCAAAATAAATAAGGGGCGTCTTAATGCATTAATTCAAATTATTATATACATTAATCCAATAATTAATTATATTCTAAATTATTATTACATCTATAAACTAATATATTATAAATTGTTTCTGTTACTTTAGGCCTTCTCTAATTATTTAATCACATGAATCTGCTTCCCATTTCTTCTTTCTTTCAGGAGTAAGTCCTGAATAGTTACAAATTCACAGTCCGTGTTGAAATTCCATACGTTTTCTGCTATAACCGAGCAATAGCACGGCTCCCTGTCCATCTTTACCAGAACTCATACACACTTTTTTCATTACCACCTCGATGCAACATGTTTAACGTTTTTTCAATGTTTGCAAGCAGTAATCACCGAGTGCTTTTCCTTATCTCTCTTTATCTGTCATTGTCTTAAAATGCGCTAAATTTAAAATATTCTTAATTTATTCACAAATATACCGGATTAAAAAACAGCTCAGTAAACAAATCTCGTGAAATAACAAAGCCCGAAATGCAAAAACAATGTGAAGAGAAACTCGAAAGAAAGTTAGTTTCGTCTGCCTTTTTACCCTCCGATGCGATTGGAGGCGAAAAACTTTTAATCATGATGTCCAATACTTTGGTATTTCCATTATGTGCCTCATTATTATTCGGTAAATTATGTCGTCATTATCCAGTAAGTATTTTTTCTTTGATATTTCGTACTCCATGTTGTGGTTTCCGGAACCTATAAACTGAATGTTTATATTTTGAGAGGCAACACGAATTTCAGGAGTTGATGGATTTCAGGTCGACGGATTTTTGGTATTTGACTGTATTGAATAGTTTGCTTACACGGAAGAAAAATTCAAAAAACCATATTAAATTAAATGCTGTGCAGCAAATTCTATGTAGATAAATTGATATAAAACAGAAGTGTTCAATCACACATTCAAAGAAACTAACCTTCCTGTTCTGTAAGCAGTTCATTTCCATTATGCTTTTAATTAAATTCAAAATCATTCTCAGATTGTTTTCCTATTGAACTGTTGTGTTTCAGTCTGTTATTACATTTGAAGCAAAAAGGGAAATTTGCATATTCTAATAAAAATTGTAAGGTCAAGAACTAAAATTTCTTAAAATAAAGAAAAATCAAACTATTTGTTTATATGCATTAAGCAAATATGCAGAAATTTGGTGCCAATTTAATTTATAATTTCTTCATAATTAAATAATTCTTTCATGTATTCTAATTAATAATTTATTATTCAACACAATGTACTATTTGCTGTGAATGAGTTCTTGCATCACCACCGGAAAAACAAGGCCTCGACGCTGCGATTGTGACTTCACTAGTAGCGGATAAAGGAACAAACGGGCTAGCAGCTTCTAGGCAGCACGAATTTTCTTCAAAAATTAGAAGTTTCTTGTTTATATTTCCTTCCCAAAAATAAAAAATAATGTAAGTAATAAAATACGTAAAAATTTTAAATTTGGTTGAATTTACGCTTTAATGCTGAAAACATTTCAAGGGCATTTAAAGGACTGGCACATTATGGTTTCCATACATTTTTCGTTATGTCACCCAATAAATTCCTTTTGGTTTTACTGTAAGAACGGCAATATGTATATTATTTTCCCATTGAATGCCAAGGACATCTACTTTCAACTTTGTTTTAGCGCCGTAACGAAGTTCGCTTGCTGTATGTTTAAAATATGTGGTTATATCTAAATATAAACATGTATGTAGATGAAACAAACTCATATCCTTTGACATAATCATGACAAGAATTTTCAAAGCAAGCAACAGATTATCTAAAGGAAATGTTACATTATGGTGGTGATGACATGGAAAGCTCAGATATTTAATTGGCTATATTTTTACTTACTAAAATTTATCCATTTTTCTTATATGAAATATTATACAGAATAACAAAAATATATTT